CTGTCATGATTTGTGTTTAGAGTGCTTTTGAAAGTAGCCTTAAAATTAAATACAAAAAGCTTTTCAGCTATATACTATAATTACAAAGAAAAAATTACACAAAACTGACAATAAGTATGTCAGTTGACAACTGTTTGTTAAACATCTAAATCAAAAGTACAGTCATAGAAGTACTATATTTAGTTGAGTTTTAAGGTGCTTTACTAAATTTTTCTTTGATTGCCTGTTTGGTTGAATACTTCTTGAAGTTTCTTCAGTAAGTTCTGCTTTCAGTAAAAAGCTTCAGTTACCTCTGGGTGGATCACTAACTACCTTAATCTAATTCCCAGCAGGTGAGTTTTTATTAGCTTTTATTCCAATTGCTGGAGCCTTTTGGCATTTCACTTTCCATTTAGCATTCCACTGATCACAGAGAAATTTCAGATAGTAATGGCCTTTTCTTCCCTAAGATATCCTGAGGCCAGACTCACTAGAATGATCTGATTCATTCAGGGGTTTCTTACATTGTAATTACCTTTTAATTTTATTACAATGCTTTTTCCATCTCAATGTATATAGACTGTGTTTCCAAAATGTAGTCATTATGTTTTAGTTACTGTTTTATATATCATATTAAAATTAGCTAAGTAAAGTGTAATACTTAGAAATTACAAAAAGTATGAACAATATTTGTATATGGATTAATTTCTTTCAATGAAAGTGTCCACAGTGAAATTTTATGCACATCTTTGCATAATTGTAAAGCCCAGTGAAAGTTTTAGAGTCAGTAATTTAAAAATCTTTTCTATTTGTCTGTAACTAATATCTATATAGTGATATTATAGGAATTAAATGAGCATGAAATCATTTATATATCATGAATATCTTTGATGTATTTTCTAGCAAGAGAAATATAGAGGGTAAAAGTACACTACTATCTTTCCCAGATGGTTTAAGTATTGTATTAGGGAGCTTACAGAGATTCGCTCGCAGTCCCATGATGCTCTACTACAGACTTCTGATAGAAATGCCATATAAAATGTTCTCACCTATCTGTTATTTCATAAGTGATGGATAGGAAAGGTGCAGTGCTAGACTTGCCATGCTCTGATATGTACTTTCTGAAATAACAGGGAAATAGCACCATAAGCGTAACCTTTGTTCTTTGCTTTTTTTAAAAAATACTTTGGCTAAAGTGGAATGATTTGTGGAAACTATAGATAAAAGACTACAAGCCTAATGAGTTTGTTTTCTGTTTAGGCAGAGTTTGGCTATATCATTCTCCTTGTTTCTTTGATGAACTTAGAAAAACACATTATACATGTTATTCATTCATCCTTCTTTCTATTCATAGTTTAATTATTCTTGCACCATCCGTTTGCCATTGACCCTCCAATCTATTTTTCTGGCACATCTGGCTTGATGTGATCATGCAGGGTGATTGTAAGAGCTGTCTTTTCCAATAATCCCCATCCCAATAGCCCTGTCTAGATTTCATCGTGGCACTATTGATGTGCCTTTCACAGAAGAGTGTTCTTAAGTTTCCTATAATATATATCAAACACTTTCAAGTCTTATGGACTATACCAATACTTTGAATTTCTTTCATTTAATACTTTTCAATTGGTACCACATGGAAGAATTACTTGATTTCTGTAGCTGAAATCTACTTTAATTTCACTTTGAGCTTTATATACCCATGCATCGAATGATCAGCAATATTTTCATTAGTGTTCTAGGACTATGATACCACTATCTTCCCTATGGCTAAGGACTCTTATTTTTTATATTTTGATAAGGGTAAATTTCACACTAGAATAAACTGGATAGTCTTCACAACCTGCTGGAATCCTAGTCAGCTAAGCAGAATCCATCAAAGGTTTTAACACTAACACTTCTAATTATAGAATTGATATATTGGAAGTTGTGATCCCTCGAATAGTGTGTGTGTGTGTGTGTGTGTGTGTGTGTGTGTGTGTGTGTGCACGCACGTGTGTGTATGGGAAGGAATTACCGAAACCATGATAATTTACTTGCAACCAGCAGCAGAATACAAATAAGATGCAGATGCATTCTAAGATCATGTTGTTATATTTTTTGTCATCTATAGAAGCTATTACTAATTAATTGCTATACTATCGATATAACTCAACTGACATAAATGGCATGGCAAATTGTGACTATTACACTGAATACTTTTTGTGAGTAGTTTAATCATAGGTTTTTGATTTCTGGAATTTAAATACACTAATTCCATAAAAGAGCATTTTTCTGGTCTGTCAGTGTGGAATAAGTCAGTTAATAGTGCATACATAGATGAATCAAGTGAGTAGTGTGGCTCTGAGATGCTGACATAGCCTCTCAATTTCCTATGTAAAGTGACCTTCCAAGACAATAAAGGAAGTTTATGTGAATTTCATATTACTTGTCTTTTTTAAGTAAAATAAGTAAAATCAAGTAAAAATAAACTTATTTTTGAAGTCAAGTATTTGGTTTTGAGGTAAGATATTCTTAATATCTTGGTTACATGGGAAATAGGTCATACAAAACACAAAATGAATCTGAAAAAAAGAATACTCCAGGCTTTGTTCACCAAAATAAGTGCAATATGAGTTGCTCTTAAGGGGACTTTTTCATAGTTATGTAGTCCAAGCTTCTTAAAATTAATTTTTTTTGTGTGTGTACTGGGAATGAAACTCACAACCTCGTGCTTGCCAGGGAGGCACTGTGCCACTGAGCTATATCTTCAGTTGAAATTAATTTCTTATGAGAACTGGTTGGAAGAATTGATTTGAGAGGTTTCTCTTTCTTTAAAAAGTGAACTTTTACTCTTTCATATTTATTGAAGAAGTAGACTGTGAACAGTCTGCATAGCCTAGCCTGATTTTCTTAGATTCATACACACATAGACTTTGCTTATCACCCCTGGAACGCTGGTTTCTTATTGGAACATGTTAAGTGCTTTAGATGAAAGAGGTCGAGGGTGGGTACTCATGTAGTTCAACTTCTGAGCGAAAAATGCTCTACTTTTTGAGGAGAATCAACTGTTTTGGAGGTACTATAAAAGATGTTTTACAAGTCTTAGTATATGATACAAAGGGCAGAAATTCCTAAGCTATTTATGTTCCCACGTTAACATTATGGATATTAATTTTTGGTGAAGTAATTCTTTAATATTTACTGATGTTTGCTTTAGAGTAACAGATAAATCATGATGATAGTCTTTCTTTGACTTTTATTTTTGGTATGCTACAGTAGTTTGAAAGAGATATGAAGGACTCCATAAAAATGATTAAAAAATCCAGTTGCAATTCAGAATTCTCAAGGATCCTTTGAAAGTAATAACCTACAAGACATAATTGACATTCAGAAACTAGAATCTATTCTACCTGCAGCCATGAAATTATACTACTCTGAAAATACTGGTGCAATAAATCTACCTAACAGAGTTAAAAAATGCAGCCACTAAAATGGCCAAATATATTAATGTACTAACATTACATGTTTTATGCTACTTCCTTACAACTTTAAGATACATTAGTAGTAAATTGTATCCCTAGGCTAGATTCCTAAATGAGTTGACAGCTTTGTAAAATTAGTGGATACAGAACAACTACGTTTTGGAAGTTGCAAATGCAACATTTCAGTGCCTATCTTCTATGAATTTCTGGTCACTTATGTCACTTCTTTTTAGAATATATGAGTCATATCTTCTCTGGTTATTCTGATAATTCCTATTCAGATCCTTTGCCTGAAAAGTCTCATTCTTTTTCTTTTTTCATTTGACAATGTCAATTAGGATCTCTATACTTTTCCTTTTCCAGCCAATACAATTCTTAGGAAATTCCAAAGTACCCGAAACACAATTTTCAGATACAATATGCTTATCTTTATTTGCATGATTTGTGCTTTGCATTAACACACACTATTTCCTCTACCTGCAATAAACATCCTTGCATTCCTCACCTACTTACGTGTAACTGGTGTGCCCATCATCACTTGACTCAAGTGCCATCTCTTCTGTGACAGTCTCTGTTTCTGTAAATCCCCAACAGCTATGCTAAAACTTAGCTGTATTGTAATATAACTATAGATTTGTTGATGTGCCACAGTATTGGATTTAAGGACTTTCACGGCTTGAACTCTGTATTGATGTTTCTGTAGCTTATCTTTTTACACATTTTGGAAATCTGTTGACAGCAATCAATATACTTTGAATAGAATAGTGACAGAAATCCTGTATCCTCCAGATCATCGGAGTGAAAGGACTGCTTAGAACTTTGCCTAAAATTGATTCATCTCAGTGCAGATTGAAGATCTAACAGTTCACCGTAAAACTTGCTTCTATAGTGATGAAACTTTAAAAAATAACATTAACTTATAAGAATATACACTTTTGTTTTTGGCCATATTGGATTTATTTATTTGTTTGTACACTCATGGCATCTGGCCCCAAAAGTAGTATCAGGAAATAAAATTTAAAAATATCTGTCAAATTATTAAAGGGGAAAAATTACATGTGTTTGAGTTAAATCTTTATTTTATTGTACTCTTTCAAATTCTGTATTTACTTCACTTAAATTCTAATTGAAAGCTTTTACTCAATTATCATAACTAACTTATTTTTCAGTAATTTTAATGAAATGAGATTGATGTTTGCGAGGTTTTACCTCTAATCTAAAGAAAAGGTTAGGCTTTATATACTTGTGTATACTTCTATGATTTTGTTATAATTTCTTAATTATTAGTCCTGCTAAATTTGGATGCTGAGATGAATCATAAAGGCATTTAAAACAAAATATTAAAAAGAAGCTTGTCAGTAACTCAAAACTGACAAAGACAGATTTATACTAAAGCTTTTCAGCAACCATAATGTGGATTAAATTTTACCACAGTGCATATCAACAATAATGAGACCAGAAATATGGTTCTTTTTGGTTCAAATGGCCCTGCATATATGCATCACAGGCCACCACATGCTTCCTCCATGAATCAGTCATTTAGAAGACAGTAAAACGTACCTTCTTTGTCCTTGTGTGTATTTAAGTGGGAGAGGATATTATCATTTGTCTGCACACAGTACACTTCGCGGGTCTGGATGCCGCCCCCACAGAGAGCAGTCTGGTTTCCTCGTCTCTTGTCTTGCTGACTGAGCAAAGGGTCTACGCGGCATTCTGTCCACTCTGTAGTTCTCCAGCCATACCTAAATCAAGAAAAAGCCAGCAGTGGTTGCCATGTTTAGTGACTCAAACATTTCTCCACTCCTCTCACATTTTATTCTAAAAAATTATTTTAATCATGTTTTTCTCTGGACTTCACCATGGCCTAGAAGTCTGATGCAGAGTAAATTTCAATTCCTTGCTTACCTCCACTAGTGCCCCATTAGGAGCAGGGTTAAATTTATGTTTTTATTTTAATTGCCATTCATAAATATTTTATGAATAAAGAGAACAGTGAAAACATAAAATTTTATGTTCAATTAAGCTAAACCCAGTCCTGCCCTTCCTTCTTGGTGCTTATAAACAAAGGGAGATTGAATTTGAGAATGGAAAACATTCTAAATGATGAACCCAAACATTTGTTTTGTGTCTAAAATGAATATTGCTTCTTCATACTAGAGCAAAATTATAACCATGTTACTATTAAGGAACTATAACTGAACATTTCAGAGTTTTCTCTTTATTGTCAAGAATAGGAATTTGTTTCTCTCAGTCTCTGTAGTGCTGAGCCTCTCTGATAAGTGTTGACTAATGCTGGAGAGTGCTGATATTTCTAATCAGTGGAGCATAGGAAAGACAATCTATGATGTGCAATTAAAGCTCCAATCAAGATCATGATCTGAAAGAAATGGTAGGGGATTGTCAGCACAACACATGCTTGAATGAGATAGCCAGGAACCATTTCCTGATGCACTTGAAGATAGGCAGTGATGGCATTTCTCCATGTCTAGGAAATGAATGCTCTAAAGGCCCAAAGAAAATGGCTCATGTAGCACTCTGAGTCACTTCAATCGAGATGCTTTCTCAGTAATCAGATTAGCAGTCAATATAAGTGTAAATGGACATGTCAGTGTTTATCCTGATTAGACAAAAAGGTTAAAGGGGCCCTTAGATTTCAGACCTGATGCTTTTCTCTATTAGTGGTAAAGTTTCTTGACAGTAAATCTGAGATCCATGCTGGTTTCATTTTTGGTAAGTGGAGATTCATGGCTTAACAGGGCTGTAGGTTTGGACGTCAGCAACAGTCTTGACATCTATTTGTAAAGGCAGGGCAACACTCAGGTCTATTTTAGATGCATGGAATTGATTCCTGTTTGCAAAGATGGAGGACGGAGAGGCAAAGCTAAATAATTCACTTGTTAGGGAACTTAAAATGATGATCACTTTTAAACTACACAATGGAATTTCAATTTAGGTCACTCCAAGGAGTCCTGTGAGAGGAACAGCTTTCCAGTACTGTAAATAGGTTATGCATTTTAAGAAAAATGCTATTTCCAAAAAAAAAAAAAGGCAGCAGAGAAAGATACTCAAAGATTTTATCTATTTTGTTAATGGCATTTAAGTATAAGAGAATAAAGACAAAAATAGAAGTTCTCAAGAGGAAAAACAGCCTAAAAATTATGGCAACTTCCTCGTGTGGGTAATACAGGGAGGACCTGTCAAACAGTGGGACAGGTAGGGAAGGAAGGAAATCAGAGTTTTCAGTCACTTGTTATATTGGTGGACAATGGGCAATTTCAAAAAACTGCAGAATTGAAGGTCTCACACGAATCACCACTATTTGTGTTATTTTTAGCTGTAATGGTAGTAACATTAATGTCCCTTCTCACTGGTTTGTGAAGCTCCCATTGTATGCATGTATTCCACAGAAGCTCTTGATGAGATCTGTGCACCACTGAGAAACTAAAATTCACTCAGTTGCTTTATATATATTTTATATTCAGACAAAACTGAACTATTGTGGTTGCGAAGCTAGCTTATGATAATGTCTTGGGAATAATATTTTTAAGGATGGAAATAATAGCACTCTACTGTCAAATATTCCTGAACAAGTCTCATTTCATCTGGATTCAAACATTTACTGGGTACACGTTACATACCAGACTTTGTTGTGTATTTTGATGCTAAAACAAGAAAGAAATAAAGGTGTGGATATAACACTCTATCTATACTTAAGATTAATAAACACAGCCTTCAAAGACTTTAAAAATCTCATTAATTTGGGGGTGGTATTTTATTCTATTTAATAGGGTTTTACAGACTTTTTTTTTCCGGCACCAGGGATTGAACTCACGACCTCATACTTGCCAGGCATGCACTTATGCCGCTGAGCTAAATCCTCGGAGTTTATATACTTTAAAATGAGTCACAGAAATCTATACTTTGAAAGTCTGCTTTACAAAATAGAGATCGACAAACTACAAAACCTAAGTACCAAATCAACCTGTCACTTATTTTTGTAAGGAAAGCTTTATTGGAACCCAGCCAAACTCATTCATTTACATAATGCTTATAGTGCCAGTGATGACACTGAATCACTGTAAGACAAAAATATGTGGCCTAATGTATTTGCTATGTGGCCCTTAAGAAAAAGAAATGAAAAAAATAAAAATAAAAAACTTGCTAAGTGGTGTTATAGAAAATATCTAAATGGAGAAATGCTTCAATGCTGAGAAAAGCTTAACTTTGATATTTAGGAGCTTTCATTTCATACGGCAAAACCTGTTTGTATGTGCATGTGTGTGTGTGCGTGTAGAGTTTGGAGAGGAATATTTTATTATTTTGCTTAAAATATATACGAATCACAACGCGCTGCCCTGCTGTTCAGTTGAAACTTAACACTGAAAGAGCCCATGATTCGGGCACACTGCCCTAGGTTACTCACGCTGCACAGAGGGCGACTCCATCTCTTTGGGGCACACAGGCTTCTTTTTCTTCAAGTTCGGGGCACTCGGTTTCGCTGCTCACGGGAAGCTGCCTGATGGTCCGTGTCCTTACCCGCGTGCCAGTAGGGGGCGCCGCACCGTGGCACGTGTTTGAGCACGGGCTCCATTCGGACCACTCTGATACCTGACACTCTTTGGTGATCACACAGGACTGGAAAGTCATTGGCAGCTTCTCCTGCTGGCAAAAGCTGCAAAAGAGCATTGATACTCTGGTCATAGAGGTTCAGGCAGTTGAGAATGCTGTCTTCTACAGTCTACAGTAAAAGCAGCTTTGGCATTTTTATTACCACTTTGAGGCGTGGTTTCAATTTCATTGAAAATACATTAACATTATAACAATGTGTAAAAGCAGACTGAAAGTTAACATTTTCACTGCTTCCTTTTTTGTATGAGTTGTTAAAAGATTCACAGGAAATAATGGAGTTTAAGGAAAATTAGCTGAAGCCAAGTTTACCATATTGCTCATTTTACTCATTCCAGATTTGTTTTTAGATAATGAGAAACCAAGAACTGTTAATGTACATCAATTTCCATTTTGTTTAGTGGTTTAAATAAGTGTGCTAGGATAAATTCAATATTGTTTTGAGTAGAAAAAGTAATTTAATATGTGCCTTAACATTACTTTTATATCATTTGAAACTTACAGTTATGTTACAATTATAACGTTTGTTCAACTACATCAACTTTTCTAACTAATGGTCTAATACACAGCGTACATAAGCATATCCTAATTAAGTACATTATAAGTATTGGAAATATGCATGTATTTATTTTTATACTATAAAGGTATCCACTATATATAACTCTAATATTTCATTAATGAGCTAAGAATGTTCAAATTTTTTCTATCTACTTCTATTTCTACTTAAATTAATAATGGATTCCAAACCAGAATATCTAAATATGAAGATGATATTATAGATGTCCAAAGCTAAAAGCATAGGCACTTTGAGGTGACCTGGAGAGTATGATGAACTCGTGTTGACACCTGGCTGAACTCTTATCCAGTCTCACTAACCAATGAGTGAGTTCCTATGTGCAGCCCATCACCATGATAGAGAGATCTGCTCCAAATAGGAGAATGCACTGATAATTGTGACATTATTCAGGCTATCTATGATAATTAACCATTGATAGAGGCAGGTCATTTTCACCATTACAACTCATAGTCTTCTTAATCCTCCTGGCAGGCTCAAGGAATTATATTCACAGGGGAGAATTAGAGCTGAAAGATCAGTCAGTTTGTCTGCATTGAGAGGGCAGAGCAGAGGATATCTGAGAGTGGTGGCATAAGGACTACATGCCTCAGTTTTATTTCCCTGTGACCAAAATACGGCTTCTACTTAAATGTTATGAGCTGAACATTGATGATGTATTAGTGCAATGCTAGCCATTAATCAAAGCTTTCTCTGTGATAAATAAATTTTCGTTCTCACACTTACAACTTTACCCATAAAAATAATGACCAAATGAAGCCCTCTATTGCATTTTGTTATAAAATTCATCTTAGGTTTTATAACCTTCCTGAAATTATTTTCATAAATATTAGCACATATTATTTATCTAATATTTAGCAATACTTTATAATTATTAATATGTAATATTTTAATAAGTTCATAGTTTACATACAAAGGATTAACAATCTCTTTTATACTTTTGTAAGGGATTTGATAATTGATAAACTACCTTCAATTATAGTCACTCAGCTCATCCGGTAGAAGCTGATGTGTCAGCTATGTTACAGATCATATTATTTATAATGAAACGATGCCTTTGGATAAATTTCACCATCTGTGGGGAAAATATCATTATCTGGCAACCAGATACAGCTTTGCGAAACGGCTGGTACATCCTGGTCTCTTGTGGCATCATGAAGACTATGATTACAGGACTGCTTGAAAAGATTCTGGCTTCTGGTATTGCACTAAGTTTCTTAAGTTCCCAGACCTACCTAATATGAAACTCATCCTTTTGCATGGATTTCTAGGGGAATTCTCACCAGATGAGAAATGGCTGGCACTATAATGAGAACTAATTCTAGTTCCTGCTCCATATCCTTTCTAAGCACATTGGTAAAAGTGTGACTTATAGCAGTCCTGTGAATCTGGATATTTAGTAAACCTTAAATATAAAGCCTAATGCATATTTTTTAATTGAATATTCCCAATAATCATTTTACACATGTATCACTCTTAGTTCTACTTTACGGGGAAGCAACCTTCTGGAGGTTAGGGAACATCATGTTGCTAATAAATTGTGGACTGGACTTTGAACTTAGCTTCTCTAAAACCAGAACTCATTTTCTTAACCCCTCTGTCCTGTCTACTACAGTTTAAACTACCTGTAAGTCTATTAGGACATTTGCTTCAGCTGAGACCAATGCCACAGTTACTGACACTGTGAATCAAGTAGTATGTATTTTACAAACCCAAGTTTTGTACCATTTACACATTGTGCAAATGTGTGGCTTATCCTAAGCAAATTAATATATACTTATGGAAAAGTTGAAACAAATGCCCTTTTCTAGTAAGCGTTAATTTTCAATAGAGGTCCTACATATGAAAAAGCTACATAAACAACAAGAATAGAGTTAAACAGATTAACACAAACCTTTTTAATATAAATCACATCTAGAGTACGTGTGCATACACATATGCACATACATATATATAAATAAAATCTTTCTTGTAATTTAGCAATACCTTAAAGCTTTCAACAAGTGTGTGATAAGTGACTCAAATTAGAAGTGGGTAACAACAGAAACAAGACTATACTAATAAAGTTGGATGTATGTCATTCTGTAAATGGAAGAACAGAAGGTTAGATGAAATGTATATTAATATGATGAATTTAAACTACATGTAAGAATCTGTTGAGACAAAGTCAATTAAAGGATATACAGTATAAAATGACATATTGGGTGGGGGAAATAACAGATTTTTCTTTGACCTCAACATAGGGAGTTTGTGATAAGCAGCAGAAATAAGAATGGAAATTAAATAATGTAAGTTCAAAATAAGACCAATGGCTGAGTGCTATTGAAAGATTCAGAGTAAAAGGAAGGTATTTGTTTATATTTTAGATTCTGATAGTGAGGTGGGAGAGTAGATTATCAAATCATAAGACTGAAGACAAGGTCATCATGATGATGTTAACAAAATATATAAAGCAAACATATATGAAGTGCTCACTCTGTTGAATTTTTCTTAGAATATCCCATTTAGTTCTGAAAAGTATTTAGTAAAGCAGATTCACTCTATGCATGTATATATATATATATATATATATATATATATATGCATGCATGCATCTATCTTTATATATATGTATATATATGCATGCATCTATCCTTTAGAATTTTTTGTTACTATCTGTTTGCAGTACATGATATATTGATCACAAAGAGTTGTTACATGAGCATACAACATCTTAATTATTTTTACTCCCACTTTCTCTCCTCTTTCTCTCCTCTCCTGATTCTTTCTGGAAATTTTATAAATACATTATTTTGAGGTTTTAGTGTGGACATCTTTTTATACAAAAATATGTCATTTCTCCCAGCGTTATTTGGCCATGCCTTACTTTCATAGGCAAAGAAACATATCCAAAATATCCTTTTAAATGTCATACACCTACCAAACAAGCAAGGGGCTTTAAATCAAACAGATCTTGCTGTTTATGAAGTTCATGAGAGTGTTAACAAAGAGAACGATAGTAGATACCACAAGCAATTATGAACTACAAGAAAGGTGGAATTAGGGACAATAAGACATAGTAGATAAGGAACAGGTAAAAAGAGATAAAGAAGTCATTAAAATTTATAAGTCTGTGTGTTTGGAAAATTCATAAAAGCTTCACAATTCTCTGAAACGGAGAACACAGAATAAGGAGTAAATTTCTGGTAGTTCATAAATAAGTTCAAAACATTGTATCTTTTTTTTCATTTTTTTGTCTTTAGGGATAAATATGCAGTAGTCTGATGCAGAATTAAGGACCAGAGTTTTGTTGAAAATTGAAAAATAAAGTATATGTACATGTATATGCATATACACATGCACATGTATATATGTGTGTGCATGTATACTTTAGAAATCGAGTTTATCAGTTCTAACCAAGGCCAAAGCAATAGAAAATTACTCATGCCATGGGTCTCATTTCAGGCCCCCAGAATTAACATATGACCTGATAGTAGGCTTTAAAGGAACTATAAACAATGTAGTACTTACTAATTTCATTTTGAGATGCAATTGGGTAACTGTATTGTCCATGACTACTTTCTTGTTTGGCTTCCATCATGTATTTTTTTCTGATTTATTTCAGTCATGCAGAATTGACACTGTAGATCCCAGGGGAACTACACATTGTAGGTCCATATCGTTTTGTGGCACTGTGCTTCTCTGAAAAGTCATAGGTATGGGTAACCTATGCTTCTGCAAGGGCATCCTAGTGGAGACATTATGTCACTGTGACATTTACATGGTGTGTTCAGGATATTTAGGTAACTAAAACTGACCACTATGGAAGTTTGTCTTTGAAATAGAAGAGGTTAACAAGTACACCTAGTTATAAACAAATTTTCTATGGAAAATGAGATAATATAGTAGCCATTGTTCATTTTCTGTTATTTGGTTCTGAAAGCCCTGTAACACTTTCATTCTCTTTAATGGTTTTATACTATCTTGTTATGTTTAATACTATTATATATGAAGTTATGCTCAACTCTTTCAAAGAAAGAGACATTATGGTAGTCACTGTTAATTATGGGTTGTCTTCTGGTGAAATACTGTGTTGCTTATATTGTTCTGTTCTGATCTGCTTTGTTACGTTTTGTTGATCTCTTTAAAATAAGAAAAAAAACAAGTATACCTTGTATTAGATACAGAATACAGGCAAATACTGAAAAATTAAAGGGTAAAGTTTAATATTGTGTTTAAAGATTTCCTCAGGAGATAGTGAAATAGAAGTTTCCCTGAAATCATATAAATTATAAATTTTATTTTATGATCTTGGGCTAATTTAAATTATATTGCCCACAGAAGAATGATATCTCAAGTATATTTCCTGAAATTATTTTGGTACTCTATATAATGAACATAATGCCTGTGAAAACATATCTTCATTTTGAAAGTAGTAGTTTTCATTTTTCAAAATACTACTGTCATTCTTTAGGTCCATAAAGGAAACTTGC